TTATAAATTAAATCGCCCAGAGATTTTTTTTATCTTGGAGAACGTCCCTGTTTCAGAGAAATCGGTGCTCTGAGTGCCGCTCCCCAGGTGAGACATCTGCGCTGCTTGCGGGTTGGTCAGCTCTATGCCCCGTGGTGGGGACAGCAGTAAGGGGGATAAAAAGGACGCAATATTCTGTGAGTGCCGCTTCCCAAGTGAGATATTTGTGCTGCTTGAAGGTTGGTCAGCTCAATGCCCTGTGGCGGGTATGGTAATAAGGGGGATGGCATGGAAGGGGATGCAACAGGATAGGAGGGTCCAATACGCGGCGAAGCGATACAATTGTTGGACTGAAAAGGGACATGGGTGCAGTCACTTCAAGCACTGATGTCCAAACAACAACGCTTCAATTGGTTGATGGCCGAGGCAAAACTGCTGACAGTGCAGCACACGTACAGCCTCTCGGCAGCACACTGAGACTGAGGTGCCTTTTGAGTCGACCCAATGGGGACCAATGCAAATCCGCCTGCAGTGCAACACACATCCTCTCTCTAGCATACTTGGTTAAGTGTGTGAGTGAGAGGCGGAGCTCAAGAAAACACAAACGGCTGATTCTCTAGAAGTGAAGGCTGAAGAGAGAATGCTGGTTCTTTGATGTGACATGCCTACAAGGCAATAAAAACACGCAGAGCACTCAATAAAAGCACGCAGAGCACTCAATAAAAGCACGCAGAGCACTCCACCGTACGGTTTTGGTTTTGAGGCGCCTCAAAACCGGATGGGCGTGAAAACAAGACTCTAAGCAACACACGACGTGTTTTGAGACGCCCCAAGAGAGCTATAAGACGTCTAAAAACTCAGAAAATTTCCAGCTGTTTCAAAACTCAGAATTTCTTGGGACGTCTCAAAACACGCACCAACACTCCGCCGTACCTGGATGGGCGTGAAGGCAAGACTCGAAGAAAGTCCTGATGTGTTGCCACTGCTGCTGTAGCTACGCTCCTTGAACCTGAGAGAGAAACGTGTAGGGAATGAATGAAGTGATCAGGAAACAAGCAGAGTTGAGTGAGTGGGCTATGCTCATGTCTTGCCTCTGCTGCAGTAGCTCACACTGCTACAAACGTGAGATTTTTGAGAATTCTCAAAAAATACATGCAAGTGGAATATCCTCATGTCTTTCCTCTGCTGCAGTAGCTCACACTGCTACAAACCCCAACTGCAGCCCTTACAGCCACGCACACTCACCTCCTGGCCACCTTGACACCCAGATCCACCCCTTAAAGAGTCCAGGTTATTACCGACGGCATTGCACCCCTTACAACCAGGCCGACTCACTTTCTTGGCAAACTTGGTCTTGAAAATGATAGCAGCCTCAGGCCGCCTGCTCAAGCATGCCGTACCCCTCGCCCAGCCCGTCCCCCAGCGTCGACTGCTCCTCCACTCCAAACTGCATGCGGTTGCTCCAAACTGATTGCCTCAAAACGGAGTCCTTTGCCGTGAGTGATTGGAGCATGGCTTTTGAGTCAGACTCAAAAGTCAACTCAAGAGTCAACTTGGCGCCTCAAAACGGAGTCCATTGCCTTGAGTGATTGGAGCATGGCTTTTGAGTCAGACTCAAAAGTCAACTCAAGAGTCAACTTGGCGCCTCAAAACGGAGTTCTTTGCCTTGAGTGATTGGAGCATGGCTTTTGAGTCAGACTCAAAAGTCAACTCAAGAGTCAACTTGGCGCCTCAAAACGGAGTTCTTTGCCGTGAGTGATTGGAGCATCAAGGGGATTTTTGAGCATGTGGCGGCGAATTTCTCGCACATCACGTGTCACTCAGACCCCAAGAAACGCGTCAAGTACCCCCACTGACTCAAGTGAGTGATGTGGACTGAACATTAAGGAAATTCTCTAGGCATGTGGGGGCGAATTCCCCCCCTCACATGGAATCAGTCAGACCCCAAGAAACGAGTCAAGTACCCCTCCGCACATCACATCCATGTCCGCTCCGCACTCGCCCCATGTGTGCTCTAACCCTTCCGAACTTCCCCCTCTGCACTTCCCCCTCAGGAATCCCCCCCCGCTACACTCTCCCCATCTCACTCTCCGCTCCTCGTGAATCAACCCGAGTAGCTCTCTTGGTTTGCGTTACCGTCCCTCTCTGCACAACCTGAGTGGCTCTATTGGCAGGCAGACTGAGATACGCGTGGGACGATAAGGCAAACCAGGCAGACTCTCTGCTCTCGAAAGTGAGCTCTGAAGGAAGCAGACAATTGTTGTGAATGCGACGAAATATTTCGCGAGCGAGACAGTTTTCGCACGCTCACCTGTTCGTCCATTAGGGCGGGTAACCCGCACAGCCGGCGAAGAGCTGTGCGTCGCACGAGCGGAGAAGTAGCACGATTTCGTCCGGAGACGCGTCGTCTATCGCGGAAGACATCTCATTCGGTCGCTCTGTGAGAGGGAGCTTGTGCGACCGCGAATGAGACATCGTATGCGACTACGAATGCGACTGCGACTGCGACTGTCGATGTGGCAACGGTGCGACGCTAGCCTGGCAGGAACGATTCCACCTCGAGCCCATACAAGCCACACCTCATTCCTTCCTAATACTTCGTTACAAGGCGTCTCATTACTGCTCTCTGATCTCAATCGTCAGTTTTCGTCTAAACGCAAACACTGGTAATCGTATCACTTGTGTAGTGTCCAAGCCTGCTGCTGTTCCCGCTGGTTTTCATTTCACCTGCTCCATTTCGATTTGACCTCTCCTACGAACAAGGCGTGGTACATTTGAAACAAATGCCGCGTTCCAGAAGAATTTCAGCTGCCCTGATTCTTGACGAACTGGGTGGTTCTTTCAAAAAGTTTGACGAGCACCCTGACGACTGAACGAAGCAAGAAACCTTGTCAGTATTCGAACAATGAAGGGTAAGAGATACCACGCCTTAGGATAATGAGCAAAGCAAAACGGACGAGACAGATCTGGGTCACTTCGTGAGATGAACGGAGCTGCAAGGATAAACCTTCCACGGAGATAAACTCTCACGGAGTAGCTTTCTTCCTACAGGCACAGATCTGTTCATCAACAACAGAACCACAGAAAGCTCGTCCCTAAAGTAAGACTTTCATACTCCAGGACCCATGGCTCCCTCCAACATCAACACACTGACAGATGACCTCCTCATTAAGATCATCTGGCATTCCCACAAGCACGTCCCAGCTCGCCGTCAATCCGAAACCCGGAGCGATGCAACGGATTCCATCTTGCCACGACCTAGGTATACCTCCGAAAACCCGTACGGCGACGATCTCAACACCTCAGATGGATTTAATGGATCTTCCGGACCGTCACACCTGCAGCGGAACAGCGGCATTGCTCTTACCGTGCCAGCTTCTACAACTATTGCTACTTATTCTCCGTTGACAGCTCCTACCGCGCTCACAGATCCGGCATATAATCCCCGCATTGCTTCGGTTTGCACGCGCTGGCGTCGCCTGGCTCGTCAGCAGGTCTCAATGCTCGTCGTGAAGAAAAATGTCGCTGTTTCGCTGCAAGATCTCATCGCAGCCGTCAAGTGCTTTCCGAATCTCTCCCATTTACATCTCAGCGACAACAGCGTAGACACTATCAACGACGCGTTTTTCGATTTCCTCGCTTCTTCATGCCCTTATCTGGTGTCGCTGCACGTGGGGAGGGATATCACGTCGAAGTGGGGTTGGCAACGGCCGAAAGAGCATCCAGTTACTGACACCGGTTTGGACCGATTCATCCGCCGCTGCACTCAGCTGCAGCACCTCTCGATCTACTGCCTGCATTACTACGGCGCGCTGCCGGATTCTCTCTCGCTCCTCACCAACCTTAACACCCTCGCGCTCACCGAAGGGTCTCCTCTCGACGCTCCAGGATTCACGAACCTGTCTTCTCTCACTGCGCTCTCCGTCGGTATTCCCGATAGGGATGATGTGACTCTCTCGAGCCTCGCGCATCTCCCAGCCGTCACCACCCTCGTTCTATTCGACAACACATGTCTAGATCTAGAAGCCCGCGGCTACTCCTACCCTTTTTCATTTGCCCAGATGCCGTCGCTGAAAGCCCTGGAGTTCGAGAGGTGGAGCCCGCAATTCGAGTTGATGTTTCCACCAGGAAATTCGTTCAGTCATCTCGAGCGGTTAGTTATAACAGGCTGCGAAAGCCTCGAGCGGCTTCCTGACGACATTGGCGAACGACTGCCTCGCCTTCGCGAGCTGAGCTTCTGCGAGTGCAAAAAACTCAGGCTGCCCGAACAGTTCGCTTCTCTAAGCTGCCTACAGCAGCTGACGATTTCCGCATGCGGCATGGGCAGCCTGCCTGAAAACTTTGGAAGTCTGCCCGCCTTGAAAACGCTGACGCTGGATCGCCTGCCACTCTCGAACCTTCCGGATTCGTTCTACCTGCTGACGTCACTGGTAACCCTCTGCGTGTCTCACTGAAACGGATTTAACGAGCTCCCTGAAAGGTTTGCTTTCCTCATTGCACTCAACCCCGTTAGCATCCCCAACTCGCTGTACCTGACGCTCCCAGAGGACATAGGCTCACTCTCCAATCTCCAAACCTTCCGCCTAACTGACTACTTCTCCCAGCAGCTGCTTCCGTCCTCCTTCACGCAGCTGTCTTCCCTCACAAGGCTCGAACTCTCGGAGTGTATGATAGAAAAACTCCCAGAAGACTTGGGGAAGCTGACTAACCTGCGCGTACTGACCATCCAGGCCTGTCCTAGCTTACAGGAGCTTCCTCAATCCCTCACTGACCTCATCAGCCTAGAGGTTCTGAAAGTCGTAGACTGTGACATACTCGCTTCAATCCCCACCAGCTTTATCAACTTCAAAAGGCTGAGAAATCTAGCACTGATCAAGCTTCCCCAGCTAGAACAAGTAACGGGATCCCTGCCTTGTTCCCTCGAGCTTCTTTCCCTAGGAAACTTCAATGGGATCGCTTCTCTGTTGGAAACCTCCGCACTGCCTAAGCTGAGAGGAATCAGCTTAACCAGTGCAGGGCCTATGGGTGGGTTGGCCGCTGGCTTGACTCTGCCCTCTCTAGTGCACTTGCAGCTGGTGCTGATTGGAGAGGCAGAAGAATTCCCTTTGCCGCTGGAACTCCTTTCTAATCTCCGCGGTTTGGTAATCTGCAATGCCGCTTGCATGCGGGAGCTTCCGGAAGGGTTTGGTTCGGAGTTGCGGCGGCTGAGGCGGCTGGAGATTTGGCGGGCTGAGGAGTTAACAGATCTGCCAGAGAGCTTCACGAAGCTTCAGTCGCTGACTTCCATTGTGATCCATGCACCTGAGCTCTCCTCTCTTCCGGACGGCATCGGGGCTCTATCCTGGCTGCGGCAGCTGAATCTTGAAGAATGCTCATCGCTCACCCACCTACCTGCTTCTCTCACCCAGCTTTCCTGCCTTCATGAGCTGAACCTCAGCAGCACCCCCATACGCTCCCTGCCTTGCCACTTTGGACAGCTGAGCCGACTTAAGAAACTTAACCTGGATGGCTGCGAGGAGTTGGCTGCTCTGCCGGAGGATTTTACCCAGCTTAAGTTGCTCCACAGCTTGAGTGTTAAAGGGTGTGGCGAGATTGTATCTGAAGGTGTGAGAGATATGCATGGGTTGCAGGTTCATGCCACTGATTCCGATGAGGATGAGGATCCTTTTTTAGGCTTGCCTTTCTGATCTGTATCCAATGTTAACGCTTTAGATTTGTGATCCGGTATCGTAACGAGAAATTACTTATATTTGTTATGAGACTTATAAGAAAAATCTCATAACAACTACTTATGAGACTTATATTACTTAGTGTACTGTAGTACTGTACATTCATGGCAAGGAAGACGGTCCACAACAAGAGCAGAATACGGTAGCAGGCAGAACTTCCAGAGGACGTGGGAAAGCTGACTAACCTGTGGGTTGGACCATCCAACCCTGTGGGTGTCCTGCTCTTCCTAAGAGCAAGAAGCCCAGCCCAGTCCCCCAAATGGTTGGACCTCAAACACGCTGTATTCAAAAGTAATTTGCCACAAAAAATTCCTACCGGTATTTGTTTGATTGTTTGTTTGACTTGCAGATGTTTTATCAAGGAAACCGACCCTATTTGTCGTGCCACTCTTGTCAACCCTTATTTCCCCACTGGCAACTGCATGTATGCAGGTTGAGCCCCTTGTTTCTGAGACATTGCTGACCTCAGCACCACATTTCATGTAAATTCCCAATTCTCATCCATCCCTACATGGCTTCTTGATCTTGGAAAAGGTGCCTGTTTCTGAGAAGTAGGTGCTTTAAGTGAGGTAACTCTTGAGTCGACTCACAAGTCACCTCGTTACAATCCCTTCACGGCTTCTTGATCTTGGAAAAGGTGCCGGTTTCTGAGAAGTAGGTGCTTTGAGTGCCGCTCCCCAGGTGAGACATCTGTGCTGCTTGCGGGTTGGTCAGCTCTATGCCCTGTGGTGGGGTCGGCAATAAGGGGGATGTAGTTGACACAAGATTAATGAACAACCAAAGAAAAATAGGTGCTTTAAATGCCCCTTCCAAGATGACGCATCTGTGCTGCTTGTGAGTTGGTCAGCTCTATGCCCTATGATGGGGACAGCAATTAAGGGGATGGATGGGACCCGATGGGAGGGACAATACAAGGCGAGGCATCACAGTTAGACCCCGAAAGTAGGGCGTGAGCACAGGCAAGCTATGAGACGTCTCAACACAGTTGGACGCTGGAAATAGGATGAGAACAAACCACTGGCACTTGAGACCCAATGGCTGAGCAGAAGGGAATGCCTTGTTGCCTTGATGCCTTGAATGAAATGCTGGGTCTTTCTTTGACATGACTCGCCTACAAGGCAACAACAACACACACTGACAACCCACAACGACGACACGCCACCGTACCTGGATGGGCGTGAAGGCAAGAGACGAAGAGAGACCCGACGTGTTGCCGCTGCTGCCGTAGCTTCGCTCCTTGAACCTGAGAACGGATGTGTGGGGAATGAGGCGGAATAGAACAGGTGGAATTGAGCGGGAAATTCTCATGCATTGCCTCTTGACCCTACCTTGACCTTCACTCATACTGATAGTGCAGCCCCTCAGAATCTCAAAAAACAGACTTACCCATACAAGAAAGGGTTACCGCACTGCACCCCTTGAGACCAGTCGGACTCACTTCCTGGCGACCTTGGTCTTGAGGTTGCTGTTGCTGGCAGCAGCAGCCATTCTCAAAATCCCCTCAGAGCGTGCAGAAAAAAAAAAAACCGTACTGTACCCCTTAGAACTGCTTAGACTCACTTCCTGGCGACCTTGGTCTTGAGGTTGCTGGCAGCAGCGGCAGCCACCGCTGCTCTTACAGACACAGAAACACGCACACACCGGTACAAGAGAGCTGTACCGCACTGCACCCCTTTAACACTCACTTCCTGGCGACCTTGGTCTTGAGGTTGCTAGCAGCAGCAGCCATTCTCAGAATCCCCTCAGAGCGTTTTGGAAAAAAAATACCGTACCCCACCCATCTATACCCCACTGCACCCCTTAAAGCCACACGGACCCACTTCTTGGCGACCTTGGTCTCGAGGTTGCTGTTGCTGGCAGCAGCACCCATTCTCAACACCCCCTCAGAGCGTACAGGAAACAATAATACCGTACTGTACCTCTTACAACTGCGTAGACTCACTTCTTGGCGACCTTGGTCTTGAGGTTGCTGGCAGCAGCAGCCACCGCTGCTTTTACAAACACAGGAATACCAACTCACCTGTACAAGAGAGCTGTACCGTACTGAACCCCTTTAAAACTCACTTCTTGGCAACCTTGGTCTTGAGGTTGCTGGCAGCAGCAGCCACTCTGAGGCGCCCCGACCCCGCCTGCCCCAGCATGCCGTACCCCTCGCCCAGCCCGTCTCCTAGCGTCTCACTCACTCCATGCCCCACCCGTCTGTACCGCACTGCACCCCTTAGAGCAGGCCACTCACTTCTTGGCGACCTTGGTCTTGAGGTTGCTGGCAGCAGCAGCCACTCTGAGGCGCCCCGAACCCGCCTGCCCCAGCATGCCGTACCCCTCGCCCAGCCCGTCCCCCAGGGTTGACTGCTCCTCCACTCCAAACTGCATGCGATTGGCCAGCTTGCGCATGTCCGTGATGCCGTAGCTGCAGTTGGGGGGTGGAGGAGGATGGGCAGGAAAAAAAAACAAGGGATTTACTTTAGTACCCCAGCACCCCAGCATGCCGTACCCCTCGCCCAGCCCGTCCCCCAGGGTTGACTGCTCCTCCACTCCAAACTGCATGCGATTGGCCAGCTTGCGCATGTCCGTGATGCCGTAGCTGCAGTTGGGGGGTGGAGGAGGATGGGCAGGAAAAAAAAACAAGGGATTTACTTTAGTACCCCAGCACCCCAGCATGCCGTACCCCTCGCCCAGCCCGTCCCCCAGGGTCGACTGCTCCTCCACTCCAAACTGCATGCGATTCGCGAGCTTTCTCATATCAGTGATGCCGTAGCTGTAGTTCGGGAGGCGAAAGGGTAGGGCGAGAGTGTGAGCATGAGGGATGGATGACGAGAAAGCATTTTAGAGGTGAGGCAGGACAACACCCCAGCATGCCGTACCGTACCCCTCGCCCAGCTCGTCCCCCAGCGTAGCATTGACTGCTCCTCCACTCCAAACTGCATTCGGTTAGCAAGCTTGCGCATGTCCGTGATGGGGTGAGGGAGGGAGGGAGGGGGGATGCGGGAATGGATAGAGATTGGTGTATGAGTTCTATTTTTCGCTCCCTCACTCGCTCCTTCACCCAACCACTCGCCCACCCCTCAACTCACCGTTCCTTCATCTTCCTCAGCCGTCTCCCTCCGCGTCTCTTCTTGGGTTCAGCATCCGGCACCGGCAGGGGCTTGGGCTTACTCACTCATTCACTCCCTCCTCAACTCACCGCTCCTTCATCTTCCTCAGCCGTCTTCCCCCCCTCTTCTCTTCTTGGGTTCAGCATCCGGCACCGGCAGCGGCTTGGGCTGCTTTGCGGGTGGCGGCTCCTGCCACTTGTCAATCTTCCTCTCCATCTCCGCCCGCAGCCCGCGCCCCGCACTCCCCCCCACGTTCCCGTGAGTGGCTCCTACCCGTGCTGCCAGAGAAAAACCCCACCCAAAAACTCACTCCCTCCCTCGCTCCCTCACTCACTCCCTCGCTCCCTCACTCACTCCCTCGCTCCATCACTCCCTCCTCAACTCACCATTCCTTCATCTTCCTCAGCCGTCTCCCTCCCCGCCTCTTCTTGGGTCCAGCATCCGGCACCGGCAGCGGCTTGGGCTGCTTTGCGGGTGGCGGCTCCTGCCACTTGTCAATCTTCCTCTCCATCTCCGCCCGCAGCCCGCGCCCCGCACTCCCCCCCACGTTCCCGTGAGTGGCTCCTACCCGTGCTGCCAGAGCAAAACCCCACCCAAAAACTCACTCCCTCCCTCGCTCCCTCACTCACTCCCTCGCTCCCTCACTCACTCCCTCGCTCCATCACTCCCTCCTCAACTCACCATTCCTTCATCTTCCTCAGCCGTCTCCCTCCCCGCCTCTTCTTGGGTCCAGCATCCGGCACCGGCAGCGGCTTGGGCTGCTTTGCGGGTGGCGGCTCCTGCCACTTGTCAATCTTCCTCTCCATCTCCGCCCGCAGCCCGCGCCCCGCACTCCCCCCCACGTTCCCGTGAGTGGCTCCTACCCGTGCTGCCAGAGCAAAACCCCACCCAAAAACTCACTCCCTCCCTCGCTCCCTCACTCACTCCCTCGCTCCCTCACTCACTCCCTCGCTCCATCACTCCCTCCTCAACTCACCATTCCTTCATCTTCCTCAGCCGTCTCCCTCCCCGCCTCTTCTTGGGTTCAGCATCCGGCACCGGCAGCGGCTTGGGCTGCTTTGCAGGCGGCGGCTCCTGCCACTTGTCAATCTTCCTCTCCATCTCCACCCGTAACCCCCTCTCAGGTCCCTCACTCCCAGACTCACCGTTCCTTCATCTTCCTCAGCCGTCTCCCTCCCCGCCTCTTCTTGGGTTCAGCATCCGGCACCGGCAGCGGCTTGGGCTGTTTTGCAGGCGGCGGCTCCTGCCACTTGTCAATCTTCCTCTCCATCTCCGCCCGCAGGCCCCTCCCCGCTCCCCCGCTCAGATCCCCGTGTGTGGCGTCGACTCGTGCTGCTAAGGCGCATTTACCCGCGACCAGGCGGGTGGCGCGCATGCGAAGAGGGGGAGGGGTGGCTTGGACGACCTCGCAGTGGAATAGGAAACCGGTGTGGGGGAGGGAGGTGGCGGTGGAAAAACCTGATAGAGTTTTCCTCTTGGATCCCAGGACCTGACAGCAAGAGAGAGGAGACAAGAGAGAAAAAATTGAGTAAGAAAAGGGGGGGAGGGGTGGCTTGGACGATCTTGCAGTGGAATAAAAAGCCAGTGTGGGGGAGAGAGGTGGCGGTGGAGAAACCAGAGAGGGTCTTGCGCTTGGATCCCAGGACCTGCCAGGGTCTGCAAAAAGATAAACTTTTTCCAAGTAAGACGAGGAGGGGAGGGGTGGCTTGGACGACCTCGCAGTGGAAGAGGAAGCCGGTGTGGGGGAGAGAGGTGGCAATGGAGAAACCTCATAAGGTCTTGCGATTTGATCCCAGGAACTGAAAAGAGTAAGGAGTGTGAGCGAGGAGAGAAAGAGTGAGAAGCGCAGGCAAGGCATGGCATGGACGATGCAGAGGAGAAACTGGACAGAAGATTACGCTTTTGAGAATTCTCAAAAGCGATCTTATGACCAATAAATGTGTGTGAAGGGAGAGCCTTGTGCGAAACATGTTGCACAATGGACGAAGCATTGACACACGCACCTGATGTTCAAAACTCCCTCTAACTACTGTGTCTACCTTCTTTACACATACCACCCACCTGAATGTTGCAAGCAGGCATGGACGCTAAGGCCATTAGCCCCCCTGCCACGCCGACCAACTGAGCTGCGATCGCCGAACCAACCACCGCCGACAGGTTCGGTGCCAAGCCTCCCATCCTGCTCTCCACAAACCTGAGAAAGGAAGGCAAGAAAATAGAGATGCAAAGTTAGCTCTCCTGAGAGTCCATAAAAATGTCACCCGTGTCAGAACATGCATGCTAGAAAAGGCAAGGATAATACAGGGGAGAAATTGGCTTCCCCCAGTCCATAAGATCCCAATCCAGCAGAATCCAGCAGAATCCAGCAGAATCCAGAACGAATAGCCAAAAGCCCTATCACCCCGATGCCACCGGTGCTTTCTCTGGCACCCCACTGCACACCAACACAACCACTGTCCACACATCCCCTCACCTGAGCACCTTCTTCTTGGCATCATCCAAAGCCAAGGCCCTGTCACACGCCTCCATTGTCCTCTGCAGCGCGTCGTCCGGCAGCGGCCGTCCTGTAGTGGTGGAGGCGGTAACTGACACCACCATGATCGTCGCGGACGGCAGCAGCCCTTCCAAATCCACAACCGTCAGATCCATCTCGTTGCCGATCCGACGGACCACGCGCGCGTAATCGATCGGGTGCAGCACCAGGGACTCCAGCTCCGGGAATTTAAGCCGATAATTGTCCCTAATGAAGTTATGCACTATGGTTATCTCGTTATCAATATCCACTGCCAGCCCGTTACAATCCACAATCAATTGATACTCTGACTCGTCCATTGGCACTGTAGCAGCTGTAGCAGCGGCTGTAGTAGCAGGAGCAGAACCGGCTGTAGCAGCAGCAGCAGAAGAAGGGGTAGAGGTGGTGGCGGAGGGAGGGGCGAGGCCTGCTGCTACAGCTGCTGCAGCTGCTGATGCTGCAGACACAGGGGGAGTTGATCCCTGCTGCTCTTGACTCTTTTCTTCGCTCTGCTCTTGATCTTGGGTTTGCTGTTCGGTTTTCGGTTCACTTCCCTCCTCTTCTGCATTAGTGGCGAGTTGAGCATCGGAAGCTTCCAACGCAGCTTCCACCCTCTGGTGAAGGGGGAAGAGAGAGTAGCAGAGAAACACGAGGTAAGAGATAAGAGATAAGAGATAAGAGATAAGAGATAAGAGATAAGAGATAAGAGATAAGAGATAAGAGATAAGAGATAAGAGATAAGAGATAAGAGATAAGAGATAAGAGAGCAGAGAGCAGAGAGTGGGTGGAATAAAGTCACCTGGCACGGTTAACTTGCTTGCCACCACCACACCCACACAAAGCATTGATTGGGTCATCATAGTTGACTGAGGGGCACTAGTCCCCCTCCCCCCCCCCCCCCCCCACGTGCATCATGACAATGTATCTCGCAGTCAAATGCAGCTTTATCACCACATCCAAAAAATCTTGATTGAGCCAAGCAGCACTACCGCACCACACCCAGCCCATCCCAACCCCTCCTAATCCACTCTCCACTGCCCCCCACCCCACTCCACCCCTCCACCTACCCGCATCATGTCGATGTATCGTGCAGACTTCTGCAGCTTAGCCACCGCGTCCAAATCGTCATAGTTAAGAGCTTCTAAATCCATCGTCTCTTCCTCCTCTTCGCCATCCGACCCCTCATCCACTCCCCCGCCTGCAGCGGGCTCCTGCAGGAGTTGCAGAAACACAGGGAGGGCAGCAGAGCAGGTGAGTGAATGGGGATCAGAACCACCGCATCCAGATCGTCATAGTTGAGAGCTTCCAGATCCATCGTTTCTTCCTCCTCCCCCTCGCCATTTGACCCTCCCTCCACCCCTTCGCCAGCACCGGGCTTCTGCAGCTAGAGACGAGCGTGAGAGCAGAGCAGGTGAGTGAGAATCACCAAATCAGAACAACCAAATCAGAACCACCAAATCCAGATCCTTCCTCCAGGTCCTATGTCTCCCCCTTCATCATCTGTTCCCTCCTCCACCCCTCCGCCTGCACTGGCCTCCTGCAGCAAGAGACGAGAGTGAGAGCAGAGCAGGTGAGTGAGAATCAGAACCATCAAATCCAGATCCTTCCTCCAGGTCCTATGTCTCCCCCTCTTCATCGTCTGTTCCCTCCTCCACCCCTCCGCCAGCAGGCCCCATTGTTCCTCCTCTTTGTCGTCCGATCCCTCATTGTATGTTTTTTGAGAATTCTCAAAAAACATCCACCCCTCCGCCAGCAGGCTCCATTCTTCCTCCTCTTTGTCGTCCGATTCCTTATCCAACCCCCCTCCAGCACAGGCCTCCTGCAGAAACAGAAGAGAGCGAGTGCGCGGTGTGGTGCGATGCAGCGCGGTGCATCAGAGGCCGGATAAGCCACCTGAGCTGAGATGCCTCTTCCTTGTCATTGTCAGAGAGGTCATCTAGAACCGTTTTGGCATGTCTCACTAAAAACAATGGTGCATGAATTCAAGTTTTAAAGACTTCGTTTATAAACCAGCTGACTTTTTATTAACCAGATGACTGACAAACCCATGGTTTATAAGCCCACCAATGACGAATCCACAGATGACGAACCTAAACTATGGGTACCTTCAAATGACCTCCTCTGAAAGCCACACCTGACTGAACCTACCTGAAGAGCCTCTTCATTGTCGGAAAGGTCGTCAAAACCCCGCTTTGTGTCCCACCCACTGAACCTTCCTTTCACTCACTTCCAGAATGCCGCAGACTGAACTGAACCCACCTGAGGCGCCTCTTCATTGTCGGAGAGGTCGTCTAGATCCGCCAGAAAGGAATCCGCTAGCGTTGCTGCCTGTGAGTGAGGAGGGAGGGGGTGAGAGACGGTAAGACCGTAAGCCAGAGAAATGGAAGCATCGTTCTCTAAGAAAACTGCCAGTCAAACTAGAGAAGGCGTCTAGATCCGCCAAAAAGGAATCCGCTAGCGTTGCTGCCTGCGAGCGAGAAGGGAGGGGGTGAGAGACGGGAAGAAGGTCAGAAGGTGGTAATTCAATATGAAACTCCAGGCGATAAGGAAGGTAAGACTTCGAAAAGAAAATAGCTAATCGTCCCCAGTCCCTTTTAGAGCCGATTCAACCCTTGAACCTTTTCACAAGAGAAATTGGCACAAAAAAAGGATCATCTGCGGACAGCGCGGCAAGGATCGCTTGTCGAAAAGCGAACGTGAGTGGGGAGAAACACCCTCTCTCCACGCGCGACAATGCGCTCCTTATCCCCGCTAGACCGCACTTCGTTATAAGATCGTTAGAAAACCAAATCCGTTGGCTCACCATGATTGGAAGGTTCGCTGAACCTTCTCGAGAAGAAACACGAACTTTGTCGTAGTTTGCAGGAACACCGGGAAAAGTGTATTTTGAATCGAACCGCGCTGTGGTCGAACCTAATTAAACAGAATCCAACAGAATAAAGACGACTAGTGCGATAGTGCGGCTCGGATGAGTATGACCAAGTCGCTGACAAGCCAAATCTTAGGATGATCAGAGAAAGACTAGACTAGGACGCCGCGAGGGAGAAAACGAGAGCGAATGTGGAGCAGGAAGTAACCAGTTCAATCAAACATGACTCGAAACCTCTGGACACAAGGGGACGTACGCGTTGCAATGCCACACGCGATGGGTTAAAACCCGCGGGCCACAGTTTTCAACCTTAGGAAGGTTTGAAGTACAAATGATAAAACATCATTGATACATGTAGGTTTGGCCCTCAAACAATTAGAGCCAGACATACAAGAATACCGACAGTTAGGAGATGGGAGCAACTAATGATCCGGCCAGGATGCCATTAGAGAAGTTTATGTGCCTTCGGATGCCGATATTGCTGGTCCGTCCGGGAGGCGAGTGTCGAGAAGGGCTGTTTTTTTAGGGTGACCTACCATACCTTGTTTTCTAATCGGGGTGGATTTTTAGGGACTGATATTGTAAAGGTGTAGGTTGGTTGACGTAACATTTACTGGACACGCTGACCCTGGTTTGGAGATACTGTATAACAGTCTGTGAGTATAGTACAACATGAGCTAGGGGCTATTGCTATCACCGTCATCCGTTTATTGGTACTTAGTGTACCTAATCTACTATCATATTACCGTAGCTTGTTAGCTATACGTGTCCAGTCACTGATGTTGTACCCCATGTAGCACAATCCGGTTGCTGACGTAGATGTCTGGAACAGCAACTACACTCCACTCGAATCTGCTTGCTGCTTGTCGACCAGGTGAAATGTCACTCAAAATGGTCCTTGTGGCTGCAGCATTGGCAGCAGCAGTATCACCAGCAGCAGCAGATTCAGTTGCAGCAGCAGGAGCAGCAGCTACACTGTTAATCGCAACCTGTGGAAGGACTTCGTTGCTGCTGCTGCTGCTGCTGCTGCTGCTGCTGCTGGGGGTCATGCTGATTCCATCTTGCTTCCATTCATGCTGCTTGTGCTTTCCTTGCATGTGAGCATGCATGTGCCCATGCACGTGTACATGCACATTGACATGAGTGTATAGATCTTCATCTTCCTGTATGTGCCCTTGTTTGTGAATCAGCACCAGGGGGCTCCCCGCACTGGCCGGCATGAGGCGCGTTACATGGTTACCACCATGCAGCATAGGCATCTGCAGGCAATGAAAGACAGAAATGAGTGCAAAACACACAGATTCAAAATAGTTCATTCTTGATGCCACACACAGGGCGTACCCTGCTTGATTCGCCTGACAGCCTTCCAGATTCACCTTTCCAGCCCTCACCTTCGCGGCCCTCACCTTTCCAGCCCACACCTTTCCAGCCCTCACCTTCGCGGTCCTCACCTTTCCAGCCCTCACCTTTGCAGCCCTCACACCTTTCCAGCCCTCACCTTTCCAGCCCTCACCTTTCCAGCCCTCACCTTTCCGGCCCTCACCTTTCCAGCCCCAACCTTCCCAGTCCGCAACTCTCATCGTCGCATGGTAATGCGCAGCCAGTGTAGATGCGCCCTTCCCTGCCAGCCTGATAAAACCCACAAAAGCCCATCATTCTGCCCTTCCCTACCTGTTAAAGCCTTTACATTCTGAATCACCAAACCAAACCTTCAAAGAATTTTCTTACCTTCCAGTTTCCCGTAGCCGTTCTCATTGCCCCGTGGCAGTGCGCGCCCGTCATCAGATGCGCCGACAGGAAATCCGCCACTTCTCTCGTTCCCGCCACGTCACCCTTTCCTGCCACGTCACCACCTGCCGCCACGTCACTGGCCTTATCCTCTTCGTCCACGTCATCCTCGTGCCCCATGGGCCGCTCGTTCTTTGCTGCTTCTGATAGGCCACGGCCCTCTCTTGCTGCAGCAGTTACAGCTATCGCAGCTGTAGTGGCAGTAGTAGCATCGAATTTGGCATGCACGGAAGGGTGAAAGCACGCGTCGGTCGGCACGAGCAACGTGATTGGCTGTCCCGCTAGTACCGGCGTAACTAACGCGGATGCGATCTCGTCTGCAAGAGGTCGGGGGAATAAAAAGGGGAAGGCAGTGGGGCGGGGGGGAAGACAGTCGGGAGGAGGGGGGGGGGGAGGGGAGGGAGGCAGTCGGGGGAGAAGGCATTGGGGACTTTCGCAGACAATGTTGGGGGGAAATTATGTGGGGGAGAGGGAGAAGAGGGAGGAGGATGAGGGGGAAAGAGCGGAAGAGAGCGAGGAACACTCTTTAGTTGGTGCGCGCACTGCTGTTGACCATCCCTCTGCCTCCGGAGTGACTTGCGAGTCGGTTCAAAGTCCCGTAGTGCGGTTGGACGGCCCTTAAGAAAAGGCGCAATTTGCGCGTTCGCGATTGGACTGCGCAGAGGAGAGGGGGGAAACGCCGGGCGGAAGCTGGCAGGGAGGGGAACAAGGGGAGATCGGAGGGACGGGGAATAGGGGGGAGAAGCTCGCAGGGGGGGACGGGGAATAGATGGGAGAAGCGGGTAGGAGGGACGGGAAAGAGGGGGACGACGCTAGAAGGGGGACGGGGACGAGGGGAAGGACTTGGGGGAAAGAGCGAATTGCAGGAGTTGTACGAACCGTATCGCTCGTTGAGCAGCTGGCGAAACACGGCGAAGCCTTTCGCAGGCACGTGCGACAACGCGCGACGCACTTCTTCCGCCGCCGCAGCCGCCGCCGCTGCCGCTTCCACTGGCGAGCCGTCCTCGATTGAAGTAGCGGTGGCCTGCACACTTCCCGCGGAATCAGCGACAGATGGCAGCGTTTCTTCCGCCGTTGCCGGCAATACCGCGGCTGCGCCGTTCTCGTTCACTAGAGGGTCGAAACCACCGTGCCGGCCGGCTTCAGCTCCAGCGGCGGAGAATAGCAGAATTAGGCAGAGAACGACACGTGGAGCCACTGGATTGGACGCGAGATGGAAGAACGACCTGGATGGAGCTTGCGCCATGGTGACCCCGCTGCGACACGTGTCAAACTGTGATTCGACTTAAAGACGCAGTATCCGCTTATCAAACCGGAGATAGATTGATATTGGGGGAATACTGGATGTCGCACGACGGAGCACTAGCGGTTCGGAGGCACTTTGGAAATCTTGGATCTCAATCGCGTGAGAACAAATCGCAGGCTAGACAACTGTGAAGCATGTGCCCCTAACGCGCTCCCACACGCGCGCACGCGCCGCACGTGCCCGCGCGTCCTCTGATGTAAGGCCGCGCGTCCCTCACATTAAGTGTACAAGGCGGGTGTAATTAGCGCCTTTCTGAATGCTGTGTGTTCCGTTGCCAAGAATGGTTGGGTGCTCCAGTTGACAGTAACGGACTTGACGTAAGCGGCGCCAGACACCTGGAGGAGGTCGTTTTCTCCCCTTTCTTGCAGGCACCGGTGCGATTACTCTTGATCCTCGTTATTGCTGGCACGGATATACTCCTTCTGGATGGCTATAAACTACAGCCGTTTATAAGAGCCCTCGCAGTGCAGGTGCTAGGAGGATGAGCGGAAGCAGCTTGCGCGTCGAACTTCAGCTATCGAGAGTTCTAAATAATGGTCGTGCAGTGCAGGTGCTAGGGGGATGAGCGGAAACAGCTAGCGCGTCGACTTCCGGTAGCAAAGGTGACCAACATGGCAACTGGCCGCTAAAACTATTTACGGGATTCAGTAAAACCTGGAAGGTTTACGAACATTCGCACGAAGAGGTCAGAGAAGTGGCGCGAATTTGCTGTGGGTCGGCGGACTAGAAGGCGAAGAATGGAAGTTTGAGGGATTGGACAGACTAATTACTCATCTAGCCCTACTAGCCTGGCCGGCTTACCTGCAAGTATTATCGCCGATTCTAGAAACTCTTAAGGATCAATGTTATAAAGCATGCTCGTTTATCTTTCCTTTCTCGCGCCGCCCTCACGACTTGCACGGAGAAAGCTGGCATTCGGTGGGGGCGCTAATATTGCTAATGCGTGGGCCAGCGGGTGGTCCCGTCGTCTTATGCTTGCTTCTCTATTCAGGCAGCCTGGTGTGGGACAAATGCAGGCTGTCATGGATAACTGGTCGCGTCGTGAGTCGGCCGTCTATTCCCGGCTGGCTTCAAGCCTACACGACGAGTGTTTGCGCGCATCGACTTTAGACCAAAATGGTGAGAAGTAGGAGCTGATGCGTGGTCAAAGCAGCGAGCGTTCCATAACGTGCAATAGTCTGCCTTGGCAAAGGAAATCTGGGGGTGCGCACCATTTGGAGATGACTGTCGGCCCACCACCACCACCACTGTTCACCATGAATTGCTGAAATGTCGACGATGTCCCACACGCGATTACCTCATCGAGTCGCTTGAATCTGCTCTATTTGCGCGGCGCGCACCGAGCACGTTGATCCAAGCCCGTTCGCCAGCGTCACACGATGGACACCACGGGCGTGCGCGAAACACGAAGAACACGTCGGATCTCTTCGCTAATCCAAGCGGCATGGGTGACCACGGCAGCATTTCGCGGACTCAAAGCAAGCCACATTTCGTTCGTGTCGTCAGGCTTGTCAGGTCCAAGCTGGAGTTGACGAAGAGAAAGATGGGTGGAAAATCGTGGAAGTTCGCAACACTGTTACAGAAGCTAGGGTAAGCAAAATACTATGCTGCATTAAAATCAATAATATGGGTGCACCAGAACGATATACCACTATTTTGAAATGAGTACTCTACAAACCTGCAATGAGCCATTGCATACATCAATGTTATATAATGCTATAAAATGTATAATAATATCATAGATATAGTAATTTGACAAAATGAGCTGGCATAAGCTGTGTATGGATTTATACAATACCCGATGCGGTGACAAGCGGTTTTCAACACATATCGGTGAAGACATCCACCACACCAACCTCAAGTTGAAATTCGGCTTCTAACAAATCGTCGCGGCTTGGTTCTCCAGTAATCCTAGAATTGCACCGTAGCATTGCCGCGGTTCGCCAATTCGACTGTTCAATCTCGCTACGAATCGACGTCGAATCTATAATCCCCTAATTACGTGTCTACATTATGCGCTTCCGTCAGGACTGATGTGGTATTGTGAGCTCCGGGTATCATAGTTAGGGTTTCCAGACTGCTCCCACGCGCTGTAGACGACGTTCGAAATGGACGGCGGGGATTACATCCTGGAGGAGACGGACAGCGGCAGGCATCGGTTTTTAGTGGAGCTCGAATTCGTTCAATGCCTGGCGAATCCGAACTACATTCACTGTGAGTCAAGCAAGGTCAACCAAGGTGTTGACCAAAGTCAACGTCAGGTATTGACGTGAGCGTTGACCAGGTCAACGTCCGGCGTTGCACAGATTCGAACGGACTAGCAAGCTTAGTGCTGCAGCGCCACCGTACCGGACCACCAGGCTCTCCGGAGCTCGTGATTGCACAATCAAGGTGCGGTGATGTTTATCTGGGCACGCCATGCCAGTACCGCGATGTGCTATTGGCTCTTGATTGCATGCCTTTAGTTAGGTCATGTCGTGCCATGCCAGCATATCATCACGCAATGCCATGCCACCAAATCGTGCATCCCCATGCCATGAGTGCAAGCCATGTGCTGTTTTGAGCCTCTCACTTCGTGTGTTCTCCACTTCTCATTGGACTCTGTTGCATTTGTCTAAAGTATGCTACTCAGCCGTTCCATCCCATCCCATCCGGTCCCATCCCGTCCCGTCACGTCCCATTCCATCCCATCCCATTCCATCCCATCCCATCCCATCCCATCCCATCCCGTCCTGTCCCATCCCATTCCATCCCATCCTGTCCCGTCCTGTCCCATCCCATCGCATTGCATCCCCTCACAGCCCATTATATCCCGTCCCATCCTATGATCCCATCCCATCCCATCCCATCCCATCCCATCCCATCCCATCCCATCCCATCCCATCCCATCCCATCCCATCCCATCCCATCCCATCCCATCCCATCCCATGCCATGCCATGCCATGCCATGCCATGCCATGCCATCCCATCCCATCCCATCCCATCCCATCCCATCCCATCCCATCCCATCCCATCCCATCCCATCCCATCCCATCCCATCCCATCCCATTCCATCCCATCCCATCCCATCCCATCCCATCCCATCCCATCCCATCCCATCCACATCCCATCCCATCCCATCCCATCCCATCCCATCCCACCCCATCCCATCCCATCCCATCCCATCCCATCCCATCCCATCCCATCCCATCCCATCCCATCCCATCCCATCCCATCCCATCCTATCCCATCCCATCCCGTCCCGTTCCGTCCCATCCCATCCCATCGCATCACATCCCATCACAGCCAAATCTATCCCATCCCATTACTACCAGTCCCATCTCATCCATATTCCTCCTTTACCCAACCTCATTCATCCTGTCGCCATTCCATGCCGGTTTGCTGTCATGTTTTCAACATCGTCTGATCCACTCGTTTACACAAAAGCCTTCATTCACTCCTCCCTGTTCCTTTTTCTTCCTTTTCAGACCTAGCACAGAACAAATACTTTGAAGACCCAGCATTCGTCAATTATATACACTACCTGCAGTACTGGCGGAAACCCCCGTATTCAACTTTCATTGTGTATGCTCAAATCCCATTTGCACATTCCATATGTTATAAATACTCATAAGAATTATGCAACTTGGTCCGGCTTTGACAAAATTGTGTGTTTTCATTCCCTGCTTTTTTCACACTCCGTTGCATTCACTACCCTCTTTCAATATGTCACCATCTTCATCCCCTTCCTTTCTTCCTACCTTCCTTTGTTCCTTTGGGATGCATGGCGTGGAATGTATTTGCGTGGGGAATAATGGGTGTCATTTTATGGCATGGAACTGTGTATCATATTTATGTATGGCGTTGTCCTGGGCTGGGTGTCACGGGCATGGCATGGGATCGGGCCAACAGCTATCCACACTGTCTCTACTTCCTTGAGCTGCTTCAAAGCGAGCACTTCCGCACTGCCATGGCGCATCCCGCCAACAAGGTACATATGTATAAAATGTTTTCATTTCGTTTCTTTTTTTATAGAAGGAATTGTGAGCACTTTCACACACTGCTCTGTTGTGCACCACGGTTGGTGGGAGAGTTGCGTCCTATCCCTCGTGTCCTCCCTCGTGTCTTGGTGGAGAGCTCGAATCAAGCAACACTGGCATGTTTCCATCAATTGCCTCAAAGCATAACCTGACGCCTCAACAATAAGTATCATGCACTTCATGCCTCAATCTATGTAACATGAAGCTATGCAGTAGGCCAAAAGCTTTTTTATGTGTGGCACTGTGATTAAGAGAAAAACAAAATGATGACCGCAGGAGACTTCTTGTCTCTTGCTCTTCCTCCTGCTCCCTAAACCTGTTTGCTCATCCTTTTGTTTTTTCCTCCCCTGCCTTTTTTTCGGCGTGTGATGTTCAGGAGCTAGCCCACGGGCAGCAGTTCTACTTCTGGCAGCATTACCGGAACAACCGGCTGAAGATGATGCATCAGCAGAGACAGCTACAAGCAGCAGGTGAAGGAGAGACGGACACAGAGACGAGCACAGGTGGTCCGACTCCTCAAGGTGTTGCCACTGCTGCTGGTACAGGTGGTGGTACCAGAGGCGGTACAGTTATAAGTGCTGGCACTGCAATTGGTACAACAGCAACTAATGGTGGTGGAGCTGTTACAGCTGATGCTGTCTCCGCTGCCCCAGGAACACCTGGTGGTGCCTCGTATCGTCACGCCTCCACGCCCCCCCTTCCTCCTGCCTCGCCTTTGCCCCCCCTTCCTACTGCTGCTCATGCGTCTGGGGCTTCCAAGCCTCCTACACCAGGCTCGGGATCTGGTTCGACAGCAGCAGGTCCGGGGGGATCCGTCAAAGCAGCAACGCACGGTGGTCGCACACCTCCCTTGGCACCAGGGTCATCCTCCCGTAACCCCAGTGGTTCTCAGCAGGGTGGTGCGAAGCCTGGTGCACGCCGCCCACCTCCCAGCAGCCCTGGGCAGAGACCAGGAGGAGGTGGGGTTGCTGGAGGGACTGGGGGAAGGGTGAGTACGCTTGGAGCTGCTGGTACGCCACATCAGCCTGGCACTGCATCTCCCAGTGGAACTCGACAAGATCCTACCGCAAGACCTAAGAAACGAAAGGCCCTGCCTCAATGATGTGAATATGTAGAAGAGGCTCCCATCCCATTCTCCGTGGCTTGTTCTGAACAATTTTTTAACTTACGGTACATCAATTTGCAAAAATATGTAATTGCAATACCAGTACATGTCTGCCCAGAATGGTATTGGCTCCACACTTTGTTTGTAGTGTCCACCATCCTTTGAATGGTATATTGAAGTTGGAACAAGAGTCCGATATAATTATCGCATTAGGTCACATGGCAGAACAATATCACATATGGCACCACACATGGTGCAAATTCATTCCAATTCTCCTAGAGGTCAGATCTGCCATCCATCTTCACACGGTGACCTGCCACCATGGATGCCAAAAGCCAACTCGCAAGAAATCCAATAGCCCCAGCAGCGAGAGCCACAACCTGCAAAGTCATACGGTATGTTGGATGACATATTGCAATGTTGTATACGGACATGACATAGGTAGCAGTATTGTCCACTCCACTTACACTTCCACCCAGCAGTGAGTAAGCTGCCAGAATTAAGGCCATATGCTCTTGCCCACTCCAGAAAAGAAGTGTGGCAAGAGCACAACCAGCACCAACGAAGAAAAGTGATGAGAATGATGGGACAAAAAAGCTTTCCCACCACCTGCACAACAAACATCTTGTTACAATTCATAACTACAGTCAAGGAATTATGCTAGCGAAAGAACCAACAGTGCTCACCACTTCGCATTCCCACACAAATGCTGGAAGTAGGTTGAAAGGATAGATATACAACCAGAGATGACGATGAAGCAACCAAATGCAAGCAGAAGAGATGGACACGATAACCTGCAAATCAGAAAAAATTAAAGAAGTTCATCTTACCAGCCTGGAACCCAGATTTGCTGGGAACACTTGAATAGAAAATACTTACTGGTGAGGAAGTCGTGTTGAGTAGTAAAACAAAGTAGCTCCCACAGCACTTGATACCAAGAGACCTCCTCCGAACCTAAATCCAATCTTGGGCAACTCCCACGAATCCCGCTCATGATGCATGCCACTATAGTAGAAGAGCGGCTGGGTGTCTATTCGAGATGTAAAGCCTCCAAACAAAGAACCCATGTACACAGTCATGGAACAGATTGAAAGCGCCCAGAGATAGAGTGAGAGTGAGGTGGCCAGGGGAACAGCATGTGGGTATCCTCCAACATTAAGTGTCCAGTTCAGGAGAAGCAACAGTCCTTGCACAAGTGTCGAAGGGAGTAATGACGACAATAGCACAGAATCCATGATGTTGGAAGACTTGAAGGAGCTCAAGATCTTCGTAGATATGTATCCGTTAAGGGCACCCAGTCCAACAAACGAGTAGAAGGACAGCTGCATCATTGATACCCGAGCAGCTGGATCCCTTAGACCATGCACAGCTGCTAAAGCTGTCACTAATGCGGCAGCTAATAATTGAACGCCTGATCCAACCTGTGGAACAATAGAATGAAGATAAAATGGACCGAAAAAAATATAGGCTGTTGATTGGGGCGGTGATTAAACCCTTACCAGGGAGGAAAGCAGCTCAATTCTGCCAAGCTCCACTTCATGCGCGTGCTCTTTCAATGGTTCCCATAGATAAGCCTTGGTTCGGTGGCTGGACTCAAGTTGGCGGAGTAAAAACTTGCACAAAACGTAAAATATGACCACTGGCACACAAGCGACGATTATCCAGGCGACTGTTTCCCAGAAGCTGGTCCCCAGCCCCTTGTTCCCTAGTAAGTGGTCCCATCTGGAAGGCCAGGGGTTTGTTGTCCTTATCCAGTAAACCGAGTAGGTGAACATGACGTCACCTGAACGTGAAGTTTCAATTGTCAGTCCAGAGGTACGAGGTCGAAAGGATTGAATTTATGAAAGAAGTACCCGAGGCCTTTTGAGGATGAGGCACGGCTTCGCATTCGCCAATTCTCTTTGGTGCAGTGCCTGCAGAGCGTGGCTGCATTTGAACAGATGATATCCGTACCTCACGCTCGCCCGCGCCATCAATCCAGTCGTTATAGTGAATAAGAAACGTGACCTGCAAGGATTGATCAATAAGCAAGGACTGCCAGCCATGTTGCAACCGGGTTAGAAGCAGGAATTACGTCGTCGACGCACATGGTTTGTCACATAGAAATCATCCGCGTCGTGACTTCCGAGAGCATAACCGTCTGCGGTATCTCCGTGGCTTTCCTTGTGCAAAATGGGAAGGCCGTCGGCACGCAGTTTAGCGAGCGGGCGCTTCTTCGAAGTAACCAGCTTCGTGAAGAGTCTCGACGACTTACCGTGATTGGCAAAATTCGGAACGAGACACAAGAACCGGCAAGTCACGTTGGTAAGGACTTTGATATCATACGGAGTTGGAAGCAGTCGTGTGTTTAGTAAGACGTCTGCCAGGTACTGAGGTTGAATCCTCCAGAGAGTTGTGTCCTGGCAAAACGGCAAGTCGTAGAAATCTGGTACTCCCGGCACCGACTCAGATAATGGAACAATGCCGATTGGTAGTGAGTCGTTTTCTCTGGCAAATGTCGAAATTAGTCAGTAAAAATCTGGTTTCTTCGTCATCAAATGCATCGCGATGTCAATGACTCAAACACACCTGAATGTGTGTGGGTGTAAGCCTGGAAGGAACGCATAACAGCGTCCATGATGTGCAACGAAGAGACAGAACGTCAGAAGGAGGCGGCGGACATGCGTCGCCATGTCGCGAGATGTGTATCCCAAATTTGGCAAATGACTTGTGTTTGTGAGCCGTGACTGCTATATTTCAGGCTTCGCTTGCTTCGCTTGCCGCTCGAGACTGCCGTGAAATTATTGAAATGCACATGTTCATTGGGTAATCTACTTAAAAATCAAACATTACACCTCAACGTTTACAAACATCTTGTGGTGAGCTACGGTAGATGAAAGCTCCTCCAATCCAAACTACCGTGCAAAAAAGTGGGTTGGAACTACCAGTAACTAACCTTCCCGCTCTTTGTAGGAGAGTTTGCTAGTGATTGTTTTTTGCTTTATGCATTAAAGTATTTTCTAACACAATAGATGGCAAGGGCCTTACTTACCCCGACAGCAATGACAAGCTCTTCCATAAAACATACGGTATAAGATCAAGCAATTTTTTTTAGTATTTTCTTTTCCTTCCATTCATCCCATCAACACACCTGAGACCCAAGCTGCAAACCGTACGCAGAAAAATGACAATACCGTATGCTCCAGCAGCAATGAGTGCGGCAAGGCACTTGTTGTGTGGCCTCGCCCCACAGGTTAAATGAAATCATTGATGCACCAATTACTGGTCATCGCCGCAACTTTTTCAAAGGGATGACTTCCTCTTCCGATTCGCTTTCATCTTTATATGACTTCACTGCTGCCTTGCGCCCGCCAGATGTCGGGGTCTTAGCTCCCGCTCTCGCAGTCCCATTGCTGCTTGGCCCAACACTCCTCCCTCCCCCACTCGGCTCTGCTTTTGCTGCCGAACCTGAAGACTTGCCTCCTGCTGCCGAACCAGATCGACTGCCCGGAGCAGTGGCCGAGGCTCGGGAGGCAGCTGCGGAAGCAGCAGCTGAAGAGGCTCGGACAGCAGTGGCTGCTTTGGCAGAGGCAGGGGTGGCTGGTGCTGACCGGCCGCTTCCTCTTTTTTGCTTGATAACCAGCACTCGCCTTGCTTCATCCTCATCCAACAGCCCGTGCTCCATCATCCTGCAAGGGTTCATACGAGACAGGGAATACACAATAAGCTCCAGCCTATGAACCATACAGTGGTAGGGTTTGGCTGCATCCAGCAACCCGTGCTCCATCATCCTGCAGGGGTTCATACGAGACAGGCAGTGGACAATGAGGTTTAGCCAACAAGTCATATAGTCACAGGGTTTACAATGCTGCTTCTGCTTCACTTCAGCATCTAACGACCCGTTAAATATCAGCCTGGAAAGAGTTCACAGTTGACATGAATTACATGGTAACACAACAAGGAGATTGACACTGCAAGGAGAACATTGAGCGGCAAACAGCTCTGCATGCATCTCAGGTTGAGGGGGGGGTTCACAGTAAAACCCTGCCGCGACGAGGGTGGAAACCAGCACAAACAGCTTAACAAAGTTATTTACAAATATTTAAGAATAAGTGACGCTGGGAGATGTAACATGAAAGCATAGTGGAACACTGACAAATGTATGCAAAATAAAAATACCGAATTTGAATCTCAAAGTGAGTATTGAAATGAAAAGGTACCATATTTGTGCCATCTCGCTGTCTGGACGCTGGTTGTAAAGGCTTTCATAGAAAATGCGAAGAGGCTCATTCTGCAGTCGAAAATGAGAGAGGGGCATGGGGGACGAAAGGAGTAGAGGAGGCAGGGAGTGAAAAGGGGTTAGAGAAATGGCCCAAATATTCCCCCTTCCTCTCCTCTTCTCACTCTCTCCTTCACTGTCAGGAATTCCCCAAAAATCCCCCCTGCCCTCACCTCCGCTGCATCTCGCTATTGGCTCTCCTCTCCCCTCTCACTGCCTTGAAATTCCCTTCTCTTGACCCCACCCCCCTCCGTTATTGCCTCGAGGCCCTCCTCACCTCCTCTGGAGGCTCCCTCAGCTGCCCCGGCAGGTCAAACACCACTTTCTCCTTCTTTGGTTTCGCAGCCTCCTTCTCCTTCTGTGTCTGCTGCGCGTGTGAGGGTGGGAGGACATGCACGAAAGTGAGTGAGGGAGACAAAGACAGTTCCTCTCAGGGGTTGTATCTCTGGAGGCTCTCTCAGCTGCCCAGGCAGGTCAAACACCACCTTCTCCTTCTTTGGTTTGGCCTCGCAGCCTCCTTGTCCTTGTGTGTCTGTAAGCATCAGGGAACAAATATGGGACAGTGACTGAGTGAAGAAAACAAACAGGTTCACTTTCAGTGGCTCCCTCAGCTGCCCCGGCAGGTCAAACACTGCCTTTTCCTTCTTTGGTTTCGCAGCCCCTTCTGTGTCTGCTGCGCGTGTGAGGGTGGGAGGACATGCACGAAAGTGAGTGGATGGAGAGAAAGACAGGCCTTCTC